ATCTTGTTCCTCAAATTGAGGACTTGCCGGCGGGAAAAACTTCACAATATTACCTTCTAAGCAGCGAATCTGTTTTAGATTATCAGCATTAAGTCCCTCTCTTAAATTTGTCAGTTGTTTGGGCAGGTCATCTCTCTCAGCTTCGACGACTTGCCGCGCTCCTTCCAAACTAGCTAATTTTTCATTCATATTTTCTAACTTGGTTTCCAGATGTCGCACTTGACCTTTATGAACACGATATTTCTCTTCCAATTCTTCATCCTTGGCCCGCATGTTTTCTTCATGTTGGGCGAGCAGATATTTTTCGTGGGCCTTCGCATTTCTCAATATCCGTTCACTTTTTTCAACTTCGATTTTTATTTGAGAACGCAGTTTGATTACTTGCCCCTGCAGAGATTGTAAATTGTGTTCATAGGCTCGCATTTGTCCGTGCAAACCATCTTCCAATTCTCTGTCGTAATCTTCCTTTTTTTCTACGTAGTTTAATTGTCTGCTTTCTTCCAATTGTTCTTCCCAAGTTGAATAGTCCCATTTTACGGAGAGCATCCATCCTAATGGAGGTTTCATCGACTCTTCGATTTCATCATCGATGTACATATCTGTGGATTTCCGACTCCGAGTTGTTAGAAGTTTCATTGCCGACAGTAAACACATATCCACCTCACATGGTAATGCATTCATATGGCTTGGAAGATATTTTTGGTATATCCTCAAGTACCGTCGTAACTGGTAATATGTATTTTCTACCAGTACTTTCCATGCCTCGACGTGTTTCACTTTTTCAAAGGTTGACGTCGACGTTAACACCTCGAAATAGTCTGCCAAAGTGGTGACAGCTTCTTCTATGTCTTTGAACATTTTTGAATGAATTTAAAATTTTTTAGATGGGACTCTTTGTCCTCTTTTCAAAACTATGTATATATATTTTTTTTTTTTATTTGGGACTTCTGTTGTCCTCTTTTCGTTTTATTTTTATTTTTGCCCCTATGGCTTTTTTTTTTTTTTGTTTTTGCCCCTATGGCTTTTTTTTTTATTTTGCCCCTATGGCTTTTTTTTTTTTTTTTATTTTGCCCCTATGGCTTTTTTATTCAAATTAGTCCCTTCGGCTATTTCAAAATGCCCCTATGGTCTTATATTTAAAATGCCTTAACGGACTTTGTTTTGTGTAGAAATTCTCCTCTATTTCTGGAGAATATCTATTTCTGCTTGTAGTGAGTCTCTTACCACTGGTGGGGGAAAACTCCTACAATTTTTTTTTTTTTTTTACGGCCGCTAGTTATTTCCACTTTATAAAAAAGTGAAGGCTCGATTGACCATATTTAAGCGGGAGAAGAGAAAACACAACCGTATCGTTTGGTTGTTGGTTCAATTCTAATTTTATTTTTAAAATATGTTCCTTACGTACTACTGAAACTAATCTAACTTAACCTAGTCGCAGCCACACAATTGTTCTTATCTATTATTAGATTTAAAAGAAACATTGCATGGGTGCTTGTCCCTTCATTCAAGTGGTCTTGGCTATCCACTGTACGCATCGATACTGTGTGTGTGGGTCATGACCTTTATTATCTTACACATTATCGTATGCGACAGCGCACAAGATCACTTAATTCTACACATGTGATATTTTATGACCGCTGGGAAACTGATAATTTGGAAATATTTATTTTTAATTGTTGGATTTTCCCAGCGCCTCAATCTCACTCAAAAGTATGTACAAAGTATTTTGTACAGATGGAATAAATCGGTCTACTCCTTCTAGTACCTCCTTCACAAAGGTCGATATTTTCAAAAAGAAAAAAACATATTTTTTGCACAGAAAGGCGAACAATAATCCGATTTTGCTTTGCAAATCCTAATATTTGCATCAGTTCTATGTCAGGTGCGAAAATGGACTATATCGGTCTACTCCATCAAGTACCTCCCCCACAAAGGGTCAAAATTTTGAATAATTACAATTCTTATAAAATGTGATGTAAGAGTCCGACCGTCTTCAAATTACGCATATTTCAATGTTTTTATTAAACGAAGTTCTGGTGTGAAAATGGAACATATCGGTCCACCCTATCTGGTTCTTCTGCGCCAAAAGATCGAAATTTTCAAAGAAACAAATATTTTACTGCGCAGAACGAGAAAGGTTTTTGCAATAAAGAATATTGCAATAAATCTGCAAATTCTAAAATTTGTATCAGAGCTATGTCAGGTGAGATACTGGACAATGTCGGTCCACTCCATCAAGTACCTTCCCCGCAAAGGGTCAAAATTTTGAATAATTACAACTCCTATAAAATGTGATGCAAGAGTCCGATTGTCAAATTCCACATATCCCAATATTTTTATTAACCAAAGTTCTGGTGTGAATATGGAATATATCGGTCCACTCCTTCTGGTACCTCCCCCACAAATGGTCGAAATTTGGAATATCCATGAAGCTCATAAAATGCCAAGTTAATATCCGATTCCATTCAGACTTGGCACATCTCAATATTTCGATCAACACAAGATCTGTTATAAATATGGTAGAGATCGGACAATTCCTTCTGGTACCTCCCCCACATAGAGTTCAATATTTTGGAAAACAAAACGCTCAAAGAATGTGAAATAAGCATTTAACTCTCTTCAAATTTCACACCTACAAATATTTTTGCTTACACAAGATCTATTGTGAAGTTTATATATATCTGCGAACCCGTTCTGGTACCTCAGTCACAAAGGATCGCAATTTTCAATAATGATGAAGTTACCAATATAGACCAAACCTGGCACGTCGCAATATTTATACCATTTTTATTTAGAGATGGACAATATTTGAAATGGACAATATTGGTCCATTCCTTCAGAACCCACTCCATAGAGAGAGGGGTTTGAATAATTACAACAGATGTCAAAATACATTTAAATAATTGAACATTGGCATTGACAGACAGACGCATACCGTCGGCAGAACCGACTGATACTTTTTAGCTTGTTTTTTTTTTTTTTTAGTTTTTATCATCAAAACCCTCGAGGAGTACTATCCGAATATATGGACCTTATAGGCAAAAATAATTTCAGAATTATAAATTTTTTGAATTTCTTAAAAAATTATCGCTCAATTTGAGGGAAATTAAAGCGGGGTTGAGGCTGGGCGAGAATTTTCATTTGGGCCAATTGTATATTCTGGGTTTTAAATGAGGAGTCACAATGTTAAGCTGAATTTGCTGTCAATAGGTTGTTTGCGTTCCCAGTATATAGAAACGTCCTTGCAGAGAACTCTACGTATAGATCACAGTTTTGCTATGGACCCCATATAACTATACCTCTCAGTAGACGGTATTTTAAGGATTTCAACTACATGTATTCAACAGAATAATTTCGAATTTGGTAATTGGAGTCCGTGACGCTATCTCTGACAAATAATTGGCTATATAGGTCAACGTTTTGGTATAGAACCCTTATAAATGTACCTCCTAAAATTCAGTATTTTTGACGATTTTTTTCACCAGCGTATTCTCAAATTTTGTATTTGGAGTTCGTATTGTGTAAAACATAATTCGACAGAAAATTGTCTATACGTAGCATCCGTAGAAAAGGTATATTCCTAAATTCGCTGTTCTGAAGTTTTTAGCGACATTTTCGAAAAGTTTGGAATTTAACATTTAAAGTTCAAAATGCGCACCACTTTATATGACAGCTACTTACCTATTCAGACCCACATGATACCTTCCGATTCAAAATTAATATTTGGAATTTGCAATATGCACCGTCTGCTCTGGCAGATAATTGGATATACAGGTTCATGTTTTGGTTATTCAAAACATTGACTCTCTGTGGGGTAGGTACCAGAAGAAATGATTCTATCCTACCATTTTTGTAACAGATCTTGTGTTGATTGAAATATTGAAATGTGTCAAGTCTGAATGGAATCCGATGTTGATTTCGTGTTTTATGAGCTTCATGAATATCCAAAATTTTGACCCCTTTGTGGGTGAGGTACCAGAAGGAGGAAATAATGGGATATGTGAAATATAAAGAGAACCGGATGCTTATTTCGGATTTTATGATACTTTTAGTTATTAAAAACGTTGGCAATTTGTGGGTAAGGCACTAGAGGGAGTGGTCCGGTCTTCACACCAGACCTTGGGTTAATAAAAATATTGTGATTTGTGTAGTTTGAAGGCAATCGGTCTGTTAAATCACATTTTATAAAAGTTAAAAATTTTCAAAATGTTTACCCTCCATGGGGGAGGTACTTGATGGAGTGAACCGATATTGTCCATTTTTGCACCTGACCTGACACTGATGCAAATTTTAGGATTTGCAAAGTTGGAGCAAAATTGGCTCTCTTTCTCTCTTTCTGTGCAGAAAAATATATTTTTTGAAAGATTCGACCTTTTTTGGGAGGGTGTACCAGAAGGAGTGGACCAATAGTGGCCATCTCAGAACTCGTTCTAAGTTTGATAATAAGATTACGATATACTAAATTTACACCAAAACGGATACTCCCTTCGAGAGTTATTGTGCGCAGTATCCAGCCAGACAGACGGACGAACGGACAGGCATCGCTGGATCGCCTCCAAATGTCCTGAAACTGATTTGGTCCAAAGAGACCTAGGGTCTAAAATCGTTTTTTCGATGAGCCACGTTTTGGCCGTATCAAATGATATATTGACCTTCTCCAGCCATATGGCTGAGGGAATAAAAAATAAGAATTAAGTCTCGCAAGGAAATGGGTTAAGAATCCTTGCCAATAGGGGCAAAATATCCCACTAGGCGGTATTTTTGGATGTTGATGTCAATGGAGAAAATATTCTATGCTAAATTCCACTATAAGTCTCGGAACAAAATAAATCTCTATATGTGATCTAAATCCATAAAAAATCCCTTCGAATTGGTCACAAAAATAAAATTCAAGATCAATAAACTCTACAAATCTTATATTTTTTAAAACAATTTTTTATTGTTATTTCATATCACTTATCAAAAAAAAAAAAAAAAAAAAAAAAAAAACGAGAACTATATACAAATAATAGATAGATATATTTATGTGTGTTTGTATAAAAAAAATCGCATAGCTATTCAGCACCGTTTACAAATTATCTTATCACTAGGGAGGGTTAAAATAATAATAAAATAAAAAACAAAAACGTATTAAACAAAAAGAATTGGAATTTTGTGGCATTTTTCGCTCGGCGATGATCACTGTGTAACAAAATTATATGCCTCCCTTACCCCTCCCCCCCGTTTCTCCATCTCTCCTCTCTATTGGCCATAGTTTCAATTATTTCGTTTTATTTTCGCAACATTGTTCCACCATGCCTAGATAAATTGATTTTTACACGCAACAAATGTCGGGTTTTTCTTCTAGTTTCCCCAACAGCTAGGAGGGGGAAAGGCAAGGGAGGGAGGCCGGTTAATAGCAAATTATCATCTTCCCAGTTATTTTTTTATGAAATTCTCTTTGGAATCTTCCCCACAAAATTGACTGGTAATTTATTCTGACCCATTATTTCCTGTTGCTGCTGCTGCCGCCGGCGGACTGGGAACATTGGGCACCATTGTTTTTATGAGACCTGGGAAAATTTCCGCCTGCAAATTGCCATAGGGAACCTTTTCACCATCCACTGTCAGTATGCCAGACTCACTTAGATCAGGTTCTATGCGAAAAGCTGAAACAGGTATTACCTGCATGTGGGGCGTGGGAGCCTCGGCCAAATGGGTGCCGGCACTTAGATTCAAAAGGAATTGTACCAATTGCGACTTGCCAACCCCGGCCCGGATGACAACCAAATAAATTATGCCATCATTCAGCTTGGAATCGGGGACAAAATAACAATCCGAGGCCAGATGAGTGGTATAGGCCGCATGGACCATGACATACTCGCCCTCCTCACAAATCCAATCCGCAGCCGGGGGTTCGGTGATGGCGGGTATTTTCGATTGGGGCCTTGTGGTGTTGAACTCGGCATTGGCAGCCTCAATGCGACTTTGTATGGTGGCCACACTGCGATTGGAGCGCAGCGAATGACCCGGTATGGAATAGTAGGCAGTGACATTTGATTTGGCTGAGGCCCAGCTATCCGGACTATAGGTAGATTGGGATATAATGTCGGCAAAGTCATTATCATCATCATTTTCACCATCACAGGCATCGGCAAAGCCTTCATTGTTTGGCCTTTCCGCCTCATCCTCATTGAGGGCATCCTGGAACCGCCTTAAAACCGAGGTGGAGCCCGATTTACGTACCTTGTGCCGTAGGGAACCTCTCACCGTTTCCTGAGCCGTTCTCTTCCAGGGCAAATAGCTTAGTTTACCCTTATAGGTCCTTAAATTAAGAATCCTGTGTATTGACCACAGGGTAAATCTTTGGGCCCCAATGGACCTTAACTTTTCACTTTCTATATCCACATCGGCAATGAGACCCCAACCAATGGCCAAAAAGGAGAACATTTCCTGTTGCTGTTTTTCTTTGGTCAAAAGCTCGACGCGCACCACATCCAAGGGGGCCCATTTTCCGGAGACACATGTCAGCGAGGCATTTACAATGGGCTTGGGCTCATAGGGTTCATTGTAGCAATGGGCAATACTCTTGGCCAGGCCATTACCCGAACCACAGGGTATAATGCCCAACGGCAAATCTCGGGTCAAAACTCTCCAATCTAAGCGCTCCATAATGCCATTGAGTACCTCGAAGTAGAGGCCATCACCGGAGGCCACCACAATGCCGCTGTATTTTTGAGGCAAATCCTGACGTTTCTTCACCATTTCCCGGGCAAAATTGGCATGGGTTGTGACCATCAGTTCATAGGGTATGTCGGCTTCCTTGAGCACGGGAATCACTTGCTTTTGGAACATAACTCTACCCTTGCCGGATCCTGATTTGGGATTAAGGAAAATCAGTAGAGGTTTGCGGCCCAGGCTATGCATGTCGGAGCCTTTGTTTATTTTGATGGCACGCTGCCATCTTTCGGCGGATTTCAAGTTATCCTCATAGGTCAAAAAGGAACGGAATCTCAGGATTCTCACAGTGCGCATGCGCCTCAGGGGTTTCTCCTTTCTCACATAGGCATAGATATATAAATAGGCAGAAATATCCTGCTGCTGCTGGGACTGCCTCTGGCTGTCTGTAGAGCCCTCGCTGTGATGCTGCTCCTCATCTTCTTCCTGTTTACGCTTGCAGGAGTGCAATACACCTCCCGTCTTTTTCTTGACCTTGCCACCACAATAGCTACCAATTATGTCCTCCATGCGTATCAATTGCTCTGTAATCTGATCATGATCGGGGGTCTCGCGTCGCAAATAAATTCCGTTGGCATTCAATTGGACTTGGATCTTGAGATTATGTTTTCGTTTATTGCGATTATTGATATAGAAGTTCTCCGTTAATTCGATGCCATTCGGTTGATGGGAGGGTGAAGAGGTTGGGGAGTTGGTTACAGGTGGTTGAGACATGTTTGTGGTTGAGACATTGGGTATTCCACTGGGCGGCTGATGATGATGATGAGGGGGGGAGTTATTGTTGATATGATTACCATAAACTCCGTTGGCGGTCATGGGTCTTCCCTTTTTTCCCCGCTCCTTCAAATTGTCGTTATTCCTTATCAAAGCTCTGGAAAGTCTTTGATTTTTTTTTCAGTTTTTGATAAAAAACCAAACTACGGCGCCTTTAACTGTTTCGAAAAATAAAGGAAAAATTAAAAAAAAAAACGATTTTGATAAGAAATTTGAAAATTGTAAAAAATATTCAGATAATGGCGATTTAATGATTTATTTATCTGTTTTTTCAAAATCTTAAAAAAATTTAAAAAAAAAAAGATTTTGATAAGAAATTTGAAAATTTTAAAAAAAATATTCAGTTAATGGCGATTTAATGACTTGTTTATCATTTTTTTTTTTTTGAAATTACAACAATTTCTATTTAAATCCAATAAATTCTTGTTCCCCACAACCTCCCTGGGAGCCCACCTAAATTCTACTTTTTTTTTTTCCAAATATCGACTTGTCCGTGTTTCACCTTTGAATGTCCGTTGCCTACTAAAGACGTCTCTTTTTTTTGCCATACGGCTCAATCATGCTACGATTCGAATTTGGTTATCAGTATAGTTGTTGTATTTGTTGCTGTTGTTGTTGTTTTTATTATTTTCTATTTTATATCGGGCTTTTCTTGTGCTTTATTTTACCCATCCAACCAATAGCTTTGGTCATATCAGTTACCAATTTTGTTTTTTTGCTGTTCAGCGATAGTAACTCGATGTTGATATCAATACCACCTTGGTGGCAGTGACACCCTACGAAGTGATATATAGAAAATGCGATTTGTTTGTCATTGGAAGGTTAAGGGTTCAGCCCACAAAAAATGCCTTTTATTCATATCCCAAGTTATGATCTGTGGAAATTGAAAAGGGAAAAGCCATTGAAAATCGTGCATTTTGGGTAAATGCATATACTGGCCGAGGATGGTAATAGGTGAAGAGATAAAGCTTGAAATGTGAAATTTTTTATTAGAGTCGCTGTTCATGTGTAGTCTGACATGCAGGTTGCAACAAAGTCAAACGCCATAATTTTTACATTTTTTTTATTTTTTTTTTTATTTTTTTTTTTAATTTTTTTTTTTTAATTTTTTTATTTTTTTTTTTTTAATTTTTTTTTTATTTTTTTTTATTATTTTTTTATTTTTGTAATTTTTTTTTAATGAAAGCCAAAGAATGTCGGAAATAGCATCGAATTTCAGAATAAGTTTAGATTTGTTCGAATTGGTCACCTTTGGCACGAATTATGGCCTTCGAACGGCCAATGAAACCGTCACAAAATGCCCGAATGTTGCTCTGCGGTATTTTGGCCCATTTCCGGCCAAGCGCTTGCTTGAGGTGTTCGACACTGACCATTGTGCGCTGGAAATGAAGTAAGGATCCTCATTTTGCAACCATTCTTGTGTGGCGCGTTCTGAGTCCTGTTGGAATGTCCAAGGTCTGCGGCCAAAAAATTTCCCTTGCCCAAGGCTTTAATACACTCTCCAGAATATTTTCGTGATAATATTCGCCATTTATTCTGATACCACGGTCGATTAACACAACGAGCGGAGAGCGACCATCGGCTGTTATGGCGGCCCACACCATCACCATGGCCAGCGCTTAAGTTCTGGTGGCCAAACGAAGGTGCACATTTTCACCTGACCTCTTTGCCAAGTAAATACGATCATTTAATTTTAACGGCTGTCGAACGAGTGGCTTAGAAATGACAGCAGTCTCTGAAGTTGGTTGCAGTTTTTTCATCTCACCCTGTTTATCTTAACCTCAGATACCAACAGAGACCTTAATATAAAATTTCAGGATTATAGCTCGGAAATTTCCCCCCCTTACCAAATTTAGTACCATTTAGTACAATTATAGTACAGCTATCCAAAATAAGCTTCTTCTCTTAACCACAGACACCCACAGTGACATCCATTTCGAATATCAGGATTTCAGTATTATCCTTTTCCCCAAATTTAGTACTTTTCGTACAAATATAATACCCATTTGCAAACCCCACCCCAAAATATCAATTCCAGATACCAACCGAGACCTCAATACCAAATTTCGGCATTCCAACTCTACCCCTTTATTCAATTCCAAAATTTAGTTTAAATCCAAATCTCAACCTCAGATACCAATGGTATTTTGGTAACTATGACAAAATTATTCGGAATTGGGTAAAGGGATAGAGCTCAAGTTCCGAAAACTGATATTTAGGTCTCTGTTGGTATCTGGGATGGAGATATGGTGGTGGTTTTGGATCTGGAATTGAGATATGGAGGCGGTTTTTCGAAATGTGTACAATAATTGTACGTAAAGTAAATTTGACATGGAGGTCTCTGTTGGTAACCGGAATTGAGCTATGAAGGTGGTTTTGGAAATGTGTACTATATTTGTACTTTATTTCGTACCAAAAAGTACAAGATGGTACTAAGTTTTGTATTAGGTGAAGGGATGGGCTGGACTCCTCAAATTTGATATTGAGATCTCTGTAGATATCTGAAATTCAGATCTGGTGGTGATTTTGGATATGTACACCATTCTTGTACGAAAAGTACTAAATGGTACTAAATTGGGTATTGGATAAAGAGTTATAGCTGGAATCCCGAAACTTAATATTGAGGTCTCTGTTGGTATCTAGAATTGAGATATGGAGGTAATTTTGGAAATGTGTACTAAAATTGTACGAATAGTACTAAATACTACCATTACTACTTGGAACTATTTGGTACCTTTTGGTAATGGGTGAACAGATAGTGCTTGAAATCTGAAATTTTGTATTAGAATTGCTGTTCATGTGTAGCCTTGACATATGGAGGTGCTTTCGAAAATGTGTTCCATAATTGTACGAAAAGTGCTGAAAGGTACTATATTTGGTATTGGAGGAAGGATGAGAGATAAAATTCTGAAAATTAATATTTTGACTATTTCTAAAAATTTTATTTTTAATAATCAAAGAACTTTTGGAAATGAATTTTCTAAAAATATATAATTTACTTAATTTCTTATATTTTTTTTAATCGTGGAATATTTTTTTTATAATAGCGGATTTTTTTAAATATTGTTTTTCCTACTTTTTTTAAGAATATCCAACAATATTTTTATGATCGTGTACTTCTTAAGAATATTAAAAAAAAAACATTTAATTGTCAAAGAAAATTATTTTGTAATCAGGTATTTTTTTAAATCATAATTTTCTTTCGGCATTTTTTTTAAATATTAAAAAAAATTTTTGGTAATCAATTTTTTTTAAATATACATATTTTTTTTGTAATTTTATAAATATTTAAAAAACAGCGAAGAAATTGTGTTTTTTTTAAATTAAAAAAAAAATTATTTAAAGTTTTGTTTATATTCGTTTATTTATTGACCATTCTAGAAATAAATGGTCATGAATTTTTAAGAAAATGCATGACTAAAAAAGTTTATAAATGTACGGTTACTAAAAAATAAAATTAATATTTTTTACTTATCATTTTAAATAATCGTGAATTTTTAAACCCGTATTTCTTCAAAGAAATTTTATATATATATTTTTAAATTTTATAACTCATCTTTTTAAATTTTAACTAAAATGTTTTTCATATTCGGGGATTAAAAATTTTCCTAAATTGTTTAAAGAATATTTCCTACATTTTTTTTAAAGAATATTTTTATATTTCATGAAGGTTTAAAAGAAAAAGCCTGCCCAAGAAGAGCATTATCAAAAAAAAAAAAAAAAAAATTGGAAAAAGTTAACATAATTTTATTATAATTTTTCGTAGCCATAAATGTTTTTAAAAAGAATATTTCTTTTAACTAATTTTTATCAATATTTTTTTAAGTGAATTTTTTAAGTATTATTTCTGCACACCATTTTTTTTAATCATGGATTTTTATCAAATATTTTTATAAACTATTTTAAATAGATTTTTTTTTTTAATTTATTCCATATGTTATCATAAATTTACCCCATTTGTCTTCTTTTTTCCACAATGGATTTCATTCAAAAATATTTTATTTATTTTTTGTTTTCAGTTTATATTAGTGAAATAATGTCATTAGCCCAGTTATCGTGTTTGAAAAAAAAGTTTTTTTTGTTTCGTTTAAAATTCAGCCAACACTGTTGCGCTGGATACATGCAATTTGTCAAACAAGTTTTTATTTTTAACAACAACAAAACATATCCGTAAACACTAGTGTTTTTGTTTTCTGTTGTCATAAATTTTTATCATTTTTATGAATTTTTTTTTCTGGGGGTTTGTAAATGTTTATTCGCAAATATCCACCTCGAACAGGTGGTCCCGTCATTTTGTCACCAAAAACAATTTATGATTCATTTATTGTCTATATTTTTTACTTTTTCATTTCGATTTGCAGTATTTTCTACCATTGCTAATTCTGCGAAACTATAAAACTTCAGATAAGATTACATGTATGTATTTCAGTTGTGGCTGTTATTACACGGAACATATGTATTTTTGTATGTAGCGGGTCGTATTTTAGTTTGTCACCACCTCCCACTCTTCATTTTTTTTTTTTTTTTGATATTTATTTGCAAATCATTTTTGATGATGACGTTGATGAGATATGATTGATATGCCCAACAGACCCTCTGAGGAGGATTGCAAAAACGTCAATTGTTGGTTAACTTTCAAACAATGAAATTTAGAAAGGTAACTATCAACCTATCCATCCATCCACCCATTCAAACAATCACTACCACCATGCCTGCCTCCCACAGTCTACTTCTCCAATGGCATGGCACAATAACACAATACCCGATTAAATCACATTTCACACACAGGAACACCACAACAACAACAAAACAAACACTCACAGGTGGTTGTGTGGTGGGGTTAAGCAATCGACAACAATGAAAATAATAACAATAACAACAACAGCCGAGTGACCACTGCTCTATTTCCAAATTCATATCAGACAATGCTCCATTTATCTATCTATCCAACACCCATCTATCTCGTTTTTTTTTCTGGTGACGATGAGTAAATTCCCCTCTTTCCCATTCCCCACCGCCATTACATTTCTAATCCAACAATAATAACAACGACACCAATGCCTTGTTTACTATCACGTGCGTATATTTTGTTATTGTATTTGTAGATGGACGAACGAGCAAGCTAACAAACGAACGACCGACCAGCTTCGTTACACTCGTTTTGATTACCTTTCGATTTGACGGTTGATTTTAAACTAAGTTCCAACAACTAAACACTGCAAAACCAAAAAAGAAAAAGGAAATTCACACTTTGTTTTTTACTATCAAACACAAACATATACCCACTTCGCCACATACCATACCTTCCCCCCACACAAATGTGTGTGTGCATGTATGTTTATGTCCAAACCGTTGCCCTCTTCATTCAACTTTTAATTGACTTTGAAGCAAAGAAAAAACAAAATCAAACATCATCTTGTGTCTTTGAGTTAAGCTCAGCTTTAATTTCTCTTTCTCCCCATCATTTGTCTTCTCTCTCTATAATTGGGGGGAAATCATGATTACAGGTGTTTTGTTTTTATTTTTTTCAAACGGGATAAATTCATTCTCTCTCTACTTCCCCTTAATATTAACATCTCTCTGAGACATGGTCTTTTGTTTTTTTTTTGTTTCAATCAAATAGTAACTACAATGGGATTAATCCATTGTTGATAGCATTCTCTCTTCCTCTAATTTACATTTTCTCTGAGCCAAGGTCTCTTGATTACAAGTGGTTTTGTTATGTTTTTTTCTTTTTTCATTTCTTTACTCCAAATAAAAGATAAAACGGGATTAACTCATTGTTATTTCTCTCACCTGCATTAATCTCTTTTGCAAAAATGACGGTAATCGAGAGTGTGGGGAATTACGAAAATGCAAGATTACAAAATATTGGCTCTTAACGGCAATGTGTTTTTTGATTTCGTTGTTGTTGTTGCTATTGCAAAGTTTGCATTGTGTGCATGGAATTGTTATTGTAATGTTGGTTGGTGTATTAGATTGGGTCACAGAAGTGTTTATATTGGGGTTAAAAGCGGAAATATGAATTAAAAGGCAAACAAAGGCGAATCTTACACAAATGAGAAAATTTTCCAAGGCAATTGAAGTCTGTGGATCTAATAAATGGTGCAGAAAAATGAAAATCTTTTGAGCCTTTGGAGATAGGATATGTAAACAACCTTCGTACTAATGAGGAAAATATTAAAAATCTACACTGCTATTGGCCACTGTATACGTTTTTTTTGACCTGCTCTCTTTACATAGAAATATCGACCTCATCTAAGAAACGCGATACATTTCAATTATCACAAAACACACAAAGTCATGTTTCTAAAAACATTTGGCCTAATGCCGGGTTGCAGTGTTGTCATTCTTTTGTGTGACTGTTTTTTTTTTTCGCTGTTTATATCAATGAGTTACATTTGGCACCACCTACAGGCTGAACCGCCCCTGATGACTGTGCCAACCATAGCATGTCATTACCAACTATTGTCTGTGTCTATCTTTTGACCTTAGTGCAAGGTAGCATTTGTAAATTATCATACATGATATTGCATTTTATGCTTTGACATTTGTGTGCGTTTTTTTGGATTTGAAAAAGAAAATTATGACTCAATATAGTGGTTTTAAGGTTTAATAATTCCCTGAAGCTGGGCTCTTTTACGGAGGTATACACCCTTTATAAATTTTTTAAATATTCGCGATGAAGGAAAAAGTTGATGTAAAATGTCTAATATAACTGTTATACAATGCAATCATGCAGTGAAATATTACAATATTTGTATTTGATGGAGCAAATTGTCTTTATAGATCTATATATTACTGTTATACAATATGAAGAAACTGTTATACACCTATATATAACTGTTATACATTGCAAAAAAAACTTATACATCGACATAAAACATATATGTAACTCAATATGTCACTTGCACATTGACATCTGGCATATGTTCAATGAAATTGTAAAGGATATCTTACGCAATGCCTAATATAACTGTTATACAAAGCAGTCTTGCAGTGAAATTGAACAATGCTACTATTTTATTGTGGAAATAGTCATTATGGATCGATATATTACTGTTATACAATGCAAAAAACTGTTATACTCCAAAATATAACTGTTATGCAATGCGAAAAAACTGTTATACATCGACATAAAACATGTATGCAACTCAAAATGTCACTTATACATTGACATCTGGCATATGTTGAATGCAATTGTAAAGGATAACTCACGCAATGCCTAATATAACTGTTATACAAAGCAATCTTGCAGTCAAATTTAACAATGCTACTATTTGATTGTGGAAATAGTCATTATGGATCGATATATTATTGTTATACAATGCAAAAGAAACTGTTATACTCCGAAACATAACTGTTATACAATGTGAAAAAACTGTTATACTGTGACAAAAATCAAAAATTGCACTTACAATTTGACTTTTACATGTATGCAATGCAAAGTTAATGTTATACGATGCAATGAAACCATTATACATTGTTTTAAGAAAAAAATGAAAAAAAGTTCGTGATATAAATGTTTAACATAACTGTTATACAATGTAATCTTGCAGTGGAATATAGTATGTTACTATTTGATTGTACAAATACACTTTATAGGTTGATATATAACTGTTATACAATACAATGAAACTGTTATATATCGATATATAACTGTTATGCAATGCAAAAAACTGTTATACATCTACATAAAACATGTATGCATCTCAAAATGTCACTTAAACATTGCCATCTGGGATATGTTGAATGCAATTGTAAAGGATATGTGACGCAATGCCTAATATAACTGTTATACAAAGCAATCTTGCAATGAAATTTAACAATGTTGCTATTTGATTTTGGAAATAGTCATTATGGATCGAAATATTACTGTTATACAATGCAAATAAAAACTGTTATACACCGATATATAACTGTTATACAATGCAAAACACCGCAATTTAATTTTCGTAAATCGAAGTTTTACCAATTGAGCCTCGTACATTGAAATATTAATGTAGTGCAACGAAAAATAAATGTTGTACATTTTAATATAACTGTTATACAAAGTAAAATAACTATTATACAGTGCATTAAAACTGTCATACATAAGAATATTAAAAAGGAACTAAAAAATTTATACATGGTGATTTTATTGATATAAAATCGCAATATAACTGTTATACATGTCAGTATAACTGTTATACAATGCAATAAAAATATCTCTTGCGCATCAAACCTGTATTTAAATTGTATACAACAACTGTCATACATTTTAATATAATTGTTATACATAACTGTTATAATATAACTGTTATACTTTATAGTGTTATAATGCAGCATTGGACTTTAACAATTCTGTCATCCAGTGTCGACAACAATCCGAAACACGCAATAAATGAAAAATAACTGTTATACAGTGCCTTATAACTGTTATAGTGTAATATTAATTTTAAAACTGCAATGAAAACTGTTATATATGACAATTTAACAGCTGTATCGTGACAATATAACTGTTATACATGACTGTTTAACTGTTATACAATGCAAAATGACTGTTTAAAGCGCAATGAAGCTAATCGACTTGTAATACAACACAATGTAACTGTTATACATGGACAAAATGTATTCGCTATATCTAAAAATATTACATTTTATTATTATATTACATCCAAAAATTCTGTCAGCCAATGGCTCGAGTCGACAACGATCCTATTCCTGGAATAAATATAAAGGACGGATATATAGTGCTTATAACTTGTATATTGTAATATTATGGTTAAAATTGCAATGAAAACTGTTATATATGACTCTTACATTTGTATAACATGACAATATAACTGTTATACATGACTTCTTAACTGTTATATATGACTGTTTAATTGTTATACAATACAATATAACTATTTGAAGCACAGTGTAACTGTTTGAAGTGCAATACAACTTTTATACAATACAATATAACTGTTATACATAGTTAAAAATTATTCACGATAGGTAGTGAATGTAGTTCTCTTATCATATTTCAATACAACACTGGGCTTTTTTACTGACTGCATGTTCGCGGTGTCCTGAGTAGACAACAAATCCATAACCAAAATAAATGCTCGATAACTGTTATACAGTACAGAATAATTTTTCACTGCCATAAAACTGTTTAAATTGCAATATATCTTTTTCACCTAACAATTTAACTGTTATAGCGTCACAATATAACTGTTATACATGTCAGTTTAACTGTTATACCTGACAGTTTAACTGTTATACATGACAGTTTAACTGTTATACATGACATTTTAACTGTTATACAATGCAATACAGCTATTTAAAGTACAATTTGAGAATTTGCAGTGGATTAGGAGTGTAATAAATTGCAATATAACTGTAATACATTTCCTGAATTTGAGGTATAATGAGAGTTTTTCTTATTCAACCCATATTCATGCCGACACGTTTGCATTTTTTATCTGATTTCTGATTTATTTCTTTAATATGAGATATAATACAAATTTGATTTTTTTTCATTTTCAGGTGTGTAAATTGAAATAAATATAAAATTTGAGTAAGTACATCAAATATCCCGAAAAAAAATATTTTAGAAGAAACAAAGATTAATTGAATAATTATTTGAAATTGTACCCTGCCTTAAAAAGTAAACCCACTCACGGCTATAAAGACACCCATTTGACAATTCTTCCTGATCAACATATGGTTTGTTCCAGAACCTGCAAGAATGTATTATTTTTTAATATGGTATCGGAATTCTCCCTTTATGATATTAAAAAAATGCAAAAACAATAGATTTTGCAGGTAACAGAGCAATAGTTGTATGTCTAACATGTAATTGTACATCCATCATTTTTCTCATTATTTAATCGAATTCTAATTTTTTGTGATTTATCATTCCCCATATCGAAAAAATTCGAATTTTTATTTACGTTCAATGTCTGTCATACATGTCTGTGAGCTTTTCTTTATTACTGGCCACATAAATATTTACCATTTCGTTCGATATTAATGAAACCTCTCTTATCGTGGCAGCCGTAAAATTATTTTGGCAAAAGAAAAAAAAAATACTAGACACCCTAAAATCATTGATCAATGAGTCAACCTAAAAAATGTGTCTAATCGCTGCGAGAGCTGGCTATTCTGTGACGTATTTATGTGACAATTAGTTGTTATTTGTTTCATTTCGTTGACATTT